CGTCGCGTCAGAAGTCTCAAGCGAGAAGCGCTAGATGCGGCAGTCTGCTGGGAGGCAGACGGTACCTCGATAGACGATGGGGCGGAGAGAACTGCGTCTATCGTGTCCTGAGGGTCCTCTGGTGGGGTAGCCAAAGGGGCAAACCACGACTCGGTGGTCGGAAAGCCGGCTACATGCGAGGCCTCAGGGGCACAGTGCACCGTGGCTAGGTGGATGGGGCTGGCCGGGCGGGGCCGGGGAGGGACTGAGATCAACGCTGACGAGAGATGTCAGCGTAGTGCCGATCGAGGGCGGTATGGTATGGACACCGTGAGGAGGTGTGTCCATCTAGGCGGCAACAAAGGCAGCCGCGTCGGGCCTCGAGGGCGGCACGCTCCTCAGGGGATAGAGCTCCGCGAGGAGGGACATAACCCTGCGGGAGGTCTATCTGAGGAACCGTGGGTGTGCGGGCGCCAGCCTGTGCAACCCGACTACGAGCACGACCCATGGCAGACATGGCCATCAGCAAGCGCTCGGCCACCGGAAGAGTGTCGTCATCCAAGTGATACTGGATGACGTCTCGTAGCTCGATGTCCTCGGGGGCGTCCCCAAGGGTAGGGTCAAACTCGGCCGAGGCGTCCTCGCCGTACTCCAGAGAACTGTAGCGCTGAGAGAATGACGCTCCAGGGCGGGTCGGGCGACGAAAACGACCAGCAAACGAGGAGCGACCTCGGGTGGTACCCCGAGACTGAGAGGTGGCGGCTGGCAGCGAAGAGGATAGGGCGACGGAGAAGCGACTGCACATCCTCTCGTACTGACGCGCAGCCTCATATACCTGCTCCGCGGAAGAGAATGAACCCCCCTATAGCTCTAGGCGATAGTCAGTCGGCAGGCTGACAAGGAACCGGTCGGTGAGTGTGACCTCTGGTAGGAACGTCTCGTCACAAACAAGGCGAGCATCTTGAAACACCCGGATGTGACGTTCCAGGTCGGCCGGTACAGAGGACCCGGACCATCTGGTCTGGGTGACACGGTCTAAGGTATCGGTGGCGTCATGACGAGCACCGAAACGGTCCTGAAGGAAGGTCACGAAGTCGGCCAGAGTGGGGACCTCACCCACGCGGAGGCGCTGGGTATAATAATCCTCCCACGCAGTGGAAGGGCTACCTCGTAATTTGGTTGCAAGCACATCGCACCACAACTCCTGACGGGTGGTCGTCATAGAGAGCGTGCGCGTTGCTATCTGCAACCAGCGAGAGACACGGGTTGTGCCATCATACTCGGGAATGTCCGTGGTGCGCACAGGAGGATGTCCACTATGCTGATGGCGGGGGGAGAAAGATCGAGGCGAGTGCACTGCGGCAGCGTAAGTCGAGGTCGCTGCAGGGGCAGAGGTGGGGAAAGGCTGTGGGCCGTGGCTGCTAGCGGATGGATCAGAAGACGAGGAGGCAACGACCGCGGGCAGCTGTCCCGGAATAGCCAGGTAGGAGGGAAGAGGCTGAGGAGCAGGTCGAGGGAAACGAGCCTGCATCATGGGGACCGAAGGGGTGGTAGAGGAAGAAGGGTGGGCAACGTGTGATGGGTGAGGCTGTCTCAGAGCGAGAATCTCCGCCTGAGCCTGCGCAATGGTGGCCTGTAAAGTGGCCACGCGCTGGGTGCGCGGTGTCGGAGGTGGAGGGGGCGGAGCAGGTCTCCCGGTGGGAGGAGGAATCCCAGCCTGGGCGGTACCCTGTTGTGGGGGTGGGGGGACAAAGGCGGGAAGAAGAGGGCGGAGCCGTATTGCCACGACCGATGCGGGAAGCTGGGAAGCAACACCGGTGTGGATCGATGAAACTGTTGGGCCTCGAGGCGGTACCTGGACCGCAGCACCTACAGCAGTAGTAGAGACGGTAGGGGCGGCCGTGGCCGGGAGAACTGCCGCAACAGACGGGTTGGTCTGAGCGGCAGCAGCGCTCGCCACTGCTGTGGGGGAGTGTTGGGCCTGGCCCGTAGAGGAGGGGGAACCACAATGTCTCCGACTTTGGAGTCGTGGGGAGCCGGACTCGGAGCCGGTAGGGGATGGGGTATGGGAGCGGTGGGGAGAGTGATGAAGAGAGTCCTTGAGGCGGTTGACGTCAAGGGCAAGCGCATTGATTTGCGCTTGCAACGGTCCAAGCGTACTAAGTTGCGCCTGAATCGCTACGAGGGTGGCATGAAGGTCCATCCTGTCCGCATGGGCCTGACCCTGACCCGCTGGCTGAACGCTCACCTGGGAGGTGGACGGCGCCGCGGTGATCTCCTTAGAGGAACTCCCTTCCATGGTCGGAAGGGAAAGGGAGGTAGAGCTCACGGGGGTGTGTGGGGAGAGGGGCCCGTCGATAAGAGGAAGGGGACCGCGAGAGCGGAGTGAGTATGTGTGAGTCGGCTCACCCCGGATTTGGCGGGTCGCGCGTGAGAAGAACGCGCCAAATCGCTCGAGGGGGGAGGAGCCGTTCGGGTCTAGGGTGCCCGACGGGAGGAGGCGGGAGAGTAGGGGGTTTAGAAGAACCCTAAACCCTAGAAAAACCCTAACCGGAGTTTAAGTGGTTAGGGGAGGGTAGCAGCGACCTAATCAAAAAAAAGATAATATGGAAGGGGGGGGGGGGAAGAAAATAGAATAAACAATAAAATTTCGAGATAAAAATAAAATAAAAAATAAATAGAAATAAATAG